TGTGTTAAATTCAGTTTCAAGCTCTCTTATGCTAGTAGATTCCCTAAGGTTTCTTCTAAGAGTTCTTTTGAGTGAATTTATGTCAATTGGCGATTCTAAAGTTGGTAGGGAGAGTGATTTACGGCCAAACATTAATAACATACCCCACAATCAATACAATAATTCATCACCATTAACTCCACATACGATGATCCATTTCTCCTCAATTATCAATACAGAAACATAAATGGCTACGACAAGGACCGATGCTTTGCAATTGAAAAGAAAAATAAATAACCTCAACAAGGCTTCACAATTAACTATATCTAAACTAAACACATGTAAGATATTCACAACTTTGAAACTAGAGTTTCGAAAACTTACCTGAAGTCGTCTAGACTTACAAATTTGCTAACTTTCCTTAGCAAGCCTTGAATACCTAGAATCTCACAAACAACTTAAAACACAAAGATGGTCAAAACCACACAAGAAATATTCAAAAATCACAATATTAACAATCAAATCAAAGTTAACCCTAGAACCTCGGTTGCTAAACTGTTTACCGTCCCCGGCAACGGCACCAAAAATTGATCGGTATCGTCGATTACAATTTATAATCAACCCTTTGTAATAGCACAAATCATTGTAAAATAGGGCTATTGGTCGGGTAAGTCGAACCACTGGGACTGCTAGTTTATGACAACTTAGGTGTCTAGAATCATTTTTAGAATGATAAAGGGGTAACAAGGATTTGTTGGTTTGTCACTTAAGCTATGAATTGAGAAATGCATAAAATAGTAAATTGCAAGGAGTTTAGAAAGAAAAGATCTAGATAGAAAGGTCTAGGGAAGTGAATCCACTCTTACCCTTTACATATGCTAAGTATATGATTGAATTGGGGAATTAATGTACATATGTGATCATGATACATAGTAACACATGATTACTACAATATCTTCAAGAAATTCAATTAATCACAAGGTAAGAAAAACCTATCAAAGCTTCACATGCTTGAGTTACCTAGACTATGATGTAACCTTAGACATGTTCACTAAGTTGGAGATTATCAAATCCTTAATTAAATGATAAAAGCACATGGAATCAAGATACAAGATTAACCCATCAAAAGAAAGTCTTAAGTTATGGATTAACAAATTTCTCAAAAACCATGCCATTAAAACCATTACATAATCTTGTTTTCATTGTCACTATGAAAATACTAGCCATACAACCATGAGAATAAATAATTTAAGACAAGAACATTTGATTCAACATGATCATTTATAAATAAAAACATTCATTACAAATTGTAATATGCTCTAGATTATGGAACTTGGCCATACATATATTTCATTCCCAAAAATAAATCAAAAATTAAACATGCTTACAAGGAAGGGTTTCATCACCTCCCTAGATGGAGGTTTAGTTACCCATTAATGCTAGGAAGGAAGAGAATGAAGAAGAAAAAGATTCCATTGCTGCACCTCAACTCCAAGAACACAAAAACCTCTCCACTTTCTCTCTAGCTTTTTCAAAAAATGTCACTCCCCTTAAGAATGAGATGATCTTCCCCTCTATATCCATTCAAAACCTACTCCCCATACTCACAATCCCGAGCTCCCCCCTCTGCATGAAGCTAGACAACACAAAAGAAGGATAAGGGAACCAAAAAGCTGAAAATGAAGGGCAGTTGAACTGCCTTCTGCAGTTCGGCGGGCGCCCGCGAGGGCTTGCAATTTTGAAGAGGGCATTGGCGTGTTTGGCGGGCGCCCGCGGGAGCTCGCGGGACCTCTGCGGGGCCTCGCCAAATTAGGCAGAAAGTTGAGGGGATTGGCGGGCTCCCGCGGGAGCATGCCACTGCACTATAAATCAAGGCTTCTCGTATGCCTTTCCGAGCCGGAGCGTTGACGCGGCTTCCACTATGAACACTAAGCCACGAATTTCACAAAAACGGCGACTGAAGAGGTTAGGTCCCGAAGATGACTCCCCGACACGGTGCACGTATTTCAACAGAAAGTTGTCAAAACTGCTTCTTTAATTACATTGGGGGAAGCTGACCTGAAACAAGCCAAAAGTACACAAATGAATCTAAACTGTACATTAAACTCCACTAATGGACTTAACTAATGCAAGTAAGGGCGCTTGAATATGCAATATTCGACGCTTATCACCCGCCAGAAGCCGGCCACATCCTAAATGGCCACCGCCGGTGATATTAACAGACCCACGGCGCAACAGAGATGGCGAGCTGCGATTCAAACCCCCAATTCGATTCTCTAGCGCATCTATCATCCGAACCCCCAATTCGATTCTCAAACCTTTTTTTTTTTAGTCCGGCAAGCAGCGATTCAGTCATACGAAACCCAGTTCAGCGATTCAGTTATACAAAACCCAGTTCAGCGATTCAGTCGTTCTCAAAGCTAGAAAAAACTAAGTTTGACCAAACCCAATTCAGTCCGGCGAGCAGCGATTCCTCAACCCACCTCGGTGAAACCCAATTCAAAACTACAAGCTTCACCAGCCTTGTCACAATTCGCCTCATGCCGGTCATTTCATTCCGCCAAATAGTCTCAACAGTCTTCCATTGAAGCATGCCCGCCGTCCTCTTCACGCCGTTGATGGCGAAGAATCAAAAGCGAAGTCAATTCCTCCGCCGCCACCATTGCCGAAATGGATGTCGATGGTGAAGAATCGAAGGCGAAGTCGATTGCGGAAGACGACACTGAAGCCCAAGTTGATGTCGGCGGCAGGTGTCGGATTACAACCTCTACAGTATGGCAATCAATGTCCCTCGGCGGCGGGATGTCGGATTACAGGCTTGACGGCGTCTTAATCGGCAGAGAAAATCAGCATCTCGTGCTCCGATGGAAGGGCCGGACCCAGCCTTTACAGCCTCTCCAACATTGCACTGTTGATCACCACCGTCGGCGTCGAAACCCTCGACCGTGACTTTTTGTCTTACATAATCCTCGACCCTTGTGCAAACTGAAATTCTGGCCTCTCTTAGTCAACAAACCACTTTAAGAACACAGTAATTGAGAGCTTGAAGCCAGCAAAATGAAGGACCAATTTGGGCTCCACAATTGCTTCAAGGGTAGAGAGAAAACGATGATATAACCAATCTCTGACCCTATAATAGAATTATATGGGTCTGTGTGTGGAAGGAAGAAGATGATATATATTTCTGACCCTAGAATAAAATTATATGAGTCTGTGTGTGGTAGGAAGAAGAAGATATATGAATATATATATATTGAAGTGAAATGAAGGGCATTTTTGTATACTTGAGTTAACAAATTAAGGGCAGTTTTGTAATTGCGTATTGGTGAACGAGGTTAAAGATGTCATTTTAGAAATTAGATGGGCAAAAATGACTTTCTAACAATTTGCTGACGTTAACATCAGCACACACAGTAAGTTGCTTAACGGCAGGGGGTAATTTGTTACATAAACCAAAACCTTAAGGGAGGTAGGTGGAATTATGAAACGTAAAGTGTGTGTAAATGGAATATCGACAAATGTTAAGGGGTGTAGGTGGAATTAACCCTTTTAAATTTTGTTAAATTTCAACCCTTTATGAAGAGATTAAAATTTTTGTTTTCGTTTTATTTAGTTTAAGCTTTAACAATTTTGAATAAAATTAATGTCATATGATTCCATTATTCAGTTGTATAATATTGTTATCCACACGTACACGCACAAATAACTATAACAATAATACTGTTTTCCATGAGAACTTTGGTTCTGAAACAACATGAAACACCTCTAAATTCCGGAATCGTGCACACTGCTTAACATCTCAGCTACATCTTTCCCAATGTATTTTCAAGCCTCTCCTTGAAAACCCACATATACATTTTCTCCATATCATGCTGAACCATAAAAACATCAAGCTTCAAGTCTAATTTATCATACCTACCAACCCCATTACTCTCCCAAGTGATCTTACTCTTTGATTTCTCATTCAAAGTTGGTTTAAAAAAAAAAAACCCGAAGAAAAACCAAGCACCTAAGACACTATCAAGCCTCTTAGCAAGATACGGGTATTGTTTTTCTTTCAAAGAAATATTTAAATAAAAATAAATTTATTAGTAAAATATACGGGAATTAATTTTTTTCAAAGGTTTCTATTTTTAATTTCATAATTACCTTTTATTGTTACAGTTGGTAATGGTAAAATTAATTATAGAAACTAAAAATAGGGTGAGAGTGGTTTTGTGTTAAAAGAAACAGCCATAGGTAGGTTTGTGAAATGACCGTTAGATTAATAGATTTAATCTAACGGTCTATATAGAAAGTGAATTATTTTTCTTGCTTCATGGGAAGCAAGAGATCAGGATTCATACTTTATATATAGCTTCAAATATAAGCTATATATAAATATATATGTATATATATGTATTTTGTGAAAGACAAGTATTAGGAAGTAGTATAAGATAAGTTTGGTAGCTTAGCTTAGGTAAACCGTTTATTTATTGTATGATCAATATATACGCTATATATAGCTTCGAATATAAGCTATATATATATATATATATATATATATATATATTCAAATAAGCTATATATTAATCACCTTAGGATACAAATTCCCTCGCCCTGCAAAGGCAAATATTAATGAAGGGACGAAGATGGAAGAAAATTTTGACATTGAAGACGTTGAAAAGCTTTAATTTTAGTGATTTCAGGACAGAGCATCACTATAATTAAAGCCTTTAAGCGTTTTCACTTTCATTCTTTTTCTGCTGAATAATATATACTGCCAATTCCATCCAGTTAAGTACTTCCTTTCTTTCTTTTGTTTTGCCTCACCTGCTTCAATCATTTAATCTCTCTCATCATCAAGCGACGCCCTGTAAACGAGCCCTATAATGAGTCTACAGTTCATAAACATAAATGAGCTTACCATAGTTGTTAAAGGCTCAAGGCGCACAAAAGCGAAAAATGTCTCCTGGAGCCTGAGGCACAAGGCGCAAGGCGAGACGCGCGCCCGACTGAAGCAAGATGCATGTTGGAAAAAAAAAAAAAAACAAAACCCACCCAATAAAGTATTAAAGATGCAATAGTATATATAAAGATGTAAAAGTCAACTAAATGAATTACTTAAGTTAAATATTCAACATAAAGATGCCAAAACCAAGTAAATCAAGTACTTGAGTTCAAAACAGTGAATAATCAAACATATTAACATAAAGATGCAAAAGTCAACTAAGGAGAAGTATAAGATAAAACTAAAACAAATATAAACATCATTTCTTCCTAAGAAGACAACACCAATGAATCTAAATATCATCATCGTCATCAATAAGCATAACATCATTTTGATCGTCACTAAATGATTCATAATTCTCAGGATCCTCTTCTATCTCATCTGAATCATTCTCATCCTCATCCACAAGTCGAACTGAAGAACTTCCTGCTCCCTTTGTTGGTAACCGTGAACTAGAACTAGATTTTGATCTAGTAGACCGTTGTGGCCTACTTGCCTCTCCAATACCAGCAAAATTAGCAACATCACCCCATGTCAAGGAATCACCTTCATAGACTAAATCATGTTCTGCATCAGAATCATCCATCCTCCCCGTCAACCACTCGTTGCTCTCATCAATGTCATCGAGTAAAATGGGATCAAGAGTGTCACGCATATTATATCGACGCCTCAATGCTCTATTATATTTGGTGAACACTAAATCATTCAAAGTTGTTTGAGCGAGCCTATTTCTTTTCTTGTTATGAAGCTGCAATAAATTCAACTTTAACTAGTAAGTATAAAAAATTAAAATTTTAACTTTCAATAATTAAATTACAAACCTAGTTAGTAGATAGTATATACTTACATGCTCAAACACGCTCCAATTTCGTTCACAACCAGAAGAACTGCAAGTAAGGCTTAAAACCTTTATAGCAAACTTTTTGAGAAGTTTTGTTGACTTGCCATAAGCTTCCCACCAATTAGCTATTAAAAAAAAATTAATAATGATGTTTAGCAACTTTAGCTTCATCTTTTTATCGACTCTATTGTCAAAATAATTTTAACACTTAGCTATACTAACTTAATACACTTTATCACTTTACCTGGTCCTCGTGTACTTCCCTGTCTAATAGCAAAGGGATTACCAAAGAGGCCCTCAGCTTTAGAATATAAGGACAGCTCAGTAATTTTGTCTTGGTCTTTGACATCCGGGACTAACCTTGCAATGCATGCATACAAACACTTTGCAATCTCTTCATCTTCTTCAATTTTCGGATTTGAATAAAAGTATTCTGGGTTCAAATAATAACCTGCTGCATGCAAAAGGCGATGAAGTTGAACATTCCACTTCTTATAAATTATTTCAAAAATATCTGAGTATTTATCTTCTACTCCCCCAAATGATTTTGCAATGGCTTCTTTAGCCCTATCCATAGCCGCATAAATGTATCCCATGGGAGGCTTTCTCTCGCCATCAACTAATCTCAAAACCGGAATAAGAGGACCGGAAACCTTAAGGCTAAAGACAATGTTGTTCCAAAAGGAAGGCATCAAAACATAAGAAGCAACTCTTTTACCGGCTTCCTCTTTCGCCCATTTACTACGATTCCATTCTTCTGAAGTAAACATCTTTCTCAAGTTATTCTTTTGCTTGTGAATACTTGATAATGTGATGAAACATGTAGCAAATCGAGTCTTAGCAGGCCTAAGTAACTCCTTTTTGTGAGTAAAGTTCCTCATAATGTTCAACAACTTTGGATGCATATAAATATAACTATTCAACTCCACTGCCCTCTACATTGTTCTAGAGATGGGCGGTATTTTCCCAATATCTTCCAAAAAAAAGGAAGGTTATTAGGTATAAAGAAAGAAGAAATAATTTAAAAGGGTAATTTGGTCTTAAAGTTGAAGTTTTAAAATTCTAAAAAATTAGGAAAGACACATTAATTAGAATTTATTTTTTAACCAATTAGATATGCAACTATGAATACACAGTAGCTTACGCGACTGTGTTTAGCACTCCTCATTTCGAAAATGAGCGGGAAACTCAGATATACAAAATGGTTGTAGCCGTACAATCTAACCTACCAACTGAGAAAGAAAGGAAAAATAGAGAAATAATTAAAAGATTGATAAACCCTCTATTTGGTTGCCCCAAAAATAAAAGGATGCCAAAAAAATTATTCCATCTTACATCCTCCATGTTTCCATGTCCACAAAATACTCAACTAAGTCATGTAGTTTTCTTAGGCTGAAAATTTCTAATATACTAACTTCAAATTTATTTATTATATATATATATATATTTTTGGGATCGATAATCCAGGAGGAATCGAGTAAGAGGATGCTCTGTTGTCACCCCAACACAACTAATAAGAACATTCCTTTGGTTTCATGTTGTTTTTCTCTTCCTCTTGTTTCATGTACAATCTAGCCTGTTATATTTGAAGACGTCCCTTGATTATAGTATACCTGAGCTTTCGAATATGCCTTTTTTTTTTTCCTTTATATTTTGGGGAGTATTATTAATTAACCAAAAAAAAAAAAAGGCAGATGGTGAGACGAATGAAACGATACAGATCGAGGAAAAGGGAACAGTTGTAAAAGATAACTATTAGGAAGTAGTATTAGAAAAGTTTGGTTGCTTAGCTTAGGTTAAATATTTATTTATTGTATGATCTTTATATACTGTATATATAGCTTCAAATATAAGCTATATATAAATTTATATGTATATATATGTATTTTGTGAAAGATAAGTATTAGGAAGTAGTATAAGATAAGTTTGGTAGCTTAGCTTAGGTAAACCGTTTATTTATTGTATGTTCATTAATTATATACGCTATATATAGCTTCAAATATAAGATATATATATATATATATATATATATGTATGTATGTATGTATGTATGTATTCATTCAAATAAGCTATATATTAATCACCTTAGGATACAAATTCCCTCGCCATGCCAAGGCAAATATTAACGAAGGGACGAAGATGGAAGAAAAGTTTGACATTGAAGACATTCAAAGCCTTTAATTTTAGTGATTTCTGGATAGAGCATCACTATAATTAAAGCCTTTAAGTGTCTTCACTTTCTTTCTTTTTCTGCTGAATGATATATACCGCCGATTCCATCCAGTTAAGTACTTCCTTTCTTTCTTTTGTTTGGCCTCACCTGCTTCAATCATTTAATCTCTCTCATCATCAAGCAATGCCCTGGTGTTTTTTTCTTTCTTTTTCTGCATATGTCTATATATATAGACTATGTAGTATATTGTGTAGGATTATATATACATGCTTCTTCGATCTCTTCATTAAAGTCGTCAGATTATATATATAATTAATATGTTTGCATGTCAAGGCCTACACATCTTTTTTTCTAATCAATTCCTCGACTAATTAATTATATCCTCAATTACTTGATTCAGACTTTCTTCAATTATTATTATTTATCAGCTTCCCCATCCACTCGTTTGGAATGGGTACGTTCATTAATTAATATTTTTGTGTTTTGATGATTGATGATTTTCAATTGTACCAATTCATATTAAAAGCTGATCGAGATGGTTTTGTTTAATTTTCTTATTTCATTGGTTATTTATTTGATTAATGCAAAGACAAACAAATTTTGATTTGATTTGATTTTTTATTCTTCCGAGTATGTCAAAAGTAAGACGTGAGAATTAAAGATACTTCTTCGATAGCTAGCTCTCACACACACACACATAGAGAGAGAGACATGGATTATACTTATTATTTATGGGAAATTATTATAAAGCTCTCATTGTAAACTATTACCTGAAGCAGGAATAAATGAATGAATGAATGAATGGGGGGTGATAAGGCAAGACATTGATTGTTCAAATAATACTATACTATACTACTACTATGCTGCTGTTTATTTTCTTTGGATGGAGAGGAATAATATAGCTTTCAGAAATTCCTCATTATCCACATCCACGGTCATTCATCAGATCAGAAAATGTACCAGAGGGAGACTTGCATCAATCATTCTTAAAGGTACAACAGATTTGAGGAGAATTAGTAAACTTGAGGACCTACAGAAGCTCTTCAATGAAGGTTGGTGCTATGCCAATGTTCACTCTCTTGCTTTCCATTAAGTAGTGTTGTCCATTATGGCTGTTCTAGGGTATTTGTAGTTAGGTTGTTTATTTCCCCTTGCAGAAGTTGATCTGCATTGGTTTGGTTTGACAAAATTACCCTCAATTGGTCCCTTAAGAGCATAATGATGCATTAATGAATGCTCTCGATTCTTGACCATATGAAATAAAAAGATGTCAGTTTACGCCAAACTAATTAATATAAAATCTAAAAATAACCACCGAGCCCTTCACAAATCCGTGCTTTTTTTTTTTTTTTTGGTTAATGGTAAGCTTGTATATAAGAAAGGAGAATGTACATGGGGCCTAAAAGAGTGGAAACAACATACAAATTGCACTCAAAGGCAGCCCAAAAACATAACAACAAAAGGAAATCCCAAAGTAATCAACGGCAGCACTGATAAATCCTACGAGACTAACCAAGAATGTATATATGACATGAAACAGGCCTGCACAAACATTGCAAGAAGATCATTCTCAGTTTTGATAAGCTTCAAATCAACACTCTTCTTAAGTTTGATTGATGCAAGTCTTGATCTGATGCAAGTCTTGATTTGAACAATAATATGGTGAGGTGGACTCTACCATTTCTCTCTATCCAAATGAAATAAATGAAATAGATGGTTGCTGATAATAAAAACTTATGTGTTAAGCTTTTTGGTGCAGTCCAATGAATTGAACACCACTGGATCAAGTCATTCCAACCACAAGGTAATATGTGGAAACCTACAATCTCTTGTATGAACCTCCATATCAGTGAGCTGTAACTTTGACTGCTAGCCAAGCAATACAGCCGTGTTTTGGAATGTGATGCTTAAACCAAATTAGCTTGTTCCAGCTGAAGATTGGAGAAGGAGGTGAAAAGTATGTTGTGGTGTGAGAAAATGAGAAGATACCTGAAGGACTAGGCATCCACACAGTGCTGTCCTGCTGATCCGAGGGAGAAGGAAGGGAGTATAATTGGGATATGAAGTACATTGATTGAAAATATTGTGAGTAGGCTGATAAGATAGGAACCACCAGATGATTATTGGAAATTAGGCTATCAACTGTGTCTTTAGTATCCAGTTGAAGAATTTCCAATTTATTGAGTCCCAATTGTTTAACAATGGGGCCATTTGGGAGCCAGTAATCAAGCCAAAGTCTTGTATCCTTCCCACACCCCGAACCTTATGATGCCTCTTGCCATCTCCCTCATCCTAAGGATGCCTCTCCAAAAACCAGAACTCAATGTAGTGGGTTTGATGCTCCAACAGGTTCTTCCTTTGATGAGATAACAATTGGTTCAAGCCACCCACAAACTCTCCTTCCTCTGGCACAGCTTCCAAATATGCTTCAACATTATAACTCTATTTGACATTTTAAGGTCTGGAAATCCCAAACCCCCATGAATTTTAGGCCTACAAACTGCAACCCAAGCAACCTTTGCTCCACTCTTTTTCAAATCTGTTCCAGACCAATAAAAGCTCCCTAGGATTTGGTTGATATCATCCAACACCTTCTTTGGAAGTGAAAATACTTGAGACCAGTAAGATTGGATTGCATACAGCACAGATTTAATGAGGACAGCTCTCCCAGCATAAGATAAGAACTTGGATGTCCAACTCCCAACTCTTCTAGTTATTCTTTCAACCAAAGTTTGATAGTCCCTTGCTGTAATTGCTGTGGCACACAGTGGTAAGCCCAAGTATGTGGTTGGAAGAGTTCCAGCATCAAATTGCAGGAGTGCAAGTATGCTGGCTTTGGTCTGTGAAAAAATGCCTTGCATTTTCAAGGATTCATTTGCAGGCCAGAGAATGAGAAAAACAAATTGAGTGCTTCCAATATGGTTTGGACAGAATTAAGGTTAGCATGGGGGAAGACACGTATGTCATTAGCAAAAGTGAGGTGTGTAATAGACAACTTCTTGCACCTCCAATGGAACTTAAAACAAGCGTTAGACTTGACTTTGTGATTAATTGAAAGAGTAGGGACCTCCATTGCAAGAACAAATAGCATTGGTGAAATAGGATCCCCTGTAAAACTTAATAATTCATATGATAAGTATCTCAAATTTGACTTGCAACTTTTAGAGATGTCAAATGAATTGTTTCTATTATTATTTTAATAGATAAATCCACTTGCATGAGATGAGTTCGATAAATATTAACAAATTAATAAATTTGAAATATTTGATGAAGTTCTTATAGATGTGCCAAAATTTCATACATCAATTTATCACATCATACCTCAAATTAATTTGACATGTAAAACTTAAAAATTCGGCTAATTAATCAATTCCTTAATTAATTGATTCAGATTTTTTATAATTATTATTATTTAATATTTATTAGCTTTTCAATTGACTCATTTGGAAAGATGGGGTATGTTCATTAATTACTATTTTTGTGTTTTGATGATCGATGATTTTTAGTCGTATATATTAAAATCGAGATGGTTTCGTTTAATTTTCTTATTTTATTGGTTATTTATTTGATTAATGCAAAGACAAACAAGTTTTGATATTTATCAGAAAAAAAAAAATGTTTTGATTTTTTTTTTTTTAAAGTATTTCGAAAGACGTTAGAATTAAGCCAAAGAAGAGATGGGGTTCATGGATGTTAAAATTAAATCCC